GCCAATCTCCTCCCTGAAAAATGTACCCTTAGAGCTGCCCTCGCTCAGCCCCTCACCGATGTCTCATAACTGGGCAGGGCTGGCCAGCCTCTGGCTTTCTGGTCCAAACAAGATAGAAAAGCTAAATACCTCTATTTCTTCACCCCTGTAGTTTAGGGAAAGGGAAGCTGTACTCCATGACCACTCTTCAGCCTTTGACGTATTTCGATGTGCCCTGCAGCCTTGCAATTTTTTTCCCCACATCATTATAGGATATTACTAAGTGTGTGTTAACATAAGAGCTGCCAAAGATGTTTGAAAGGCTTGTTTGTCCCTCCGCAAAGGGAAATCCTCCCTCTCCCTGCCGTATGTACTTATCGCTCCAGAGATTCATTCTTCTTTGAGCTAGCCAGAAGTGCAGATGCCTTTCTGGTGTTCTTTTTTGTTTATGCTATTTCTGACATTCTGCTGAAAAGGGAAGAGGAAAGTTGCAAAACACATGGAAAGGAGTTCCCTCGCGTGACGATAACATGAGATAAGGCAGGACAAGAGAGGAGTTTAATTTGCTTTGGTTTAATATTTTTAACAGCTGTTGACTGTAAAAGAAGGGGTATGATTCATTTGCATCTATCAGTGCCTTTTGATGATGGGTTAAGGGGAGGATTTTGGCATTGCTTTTATACTGACATGCCCTCTAGTCAGTTTTAATATGAGTACAGATAAAGCTCACCAAACTCCTTTAGAGGAAAGCTTTAACAAAAATTTCTCCAAATTGTCCCTAACTAAATGAGTGTATATACTCATTTGTGTAGTTTGCCAAAGACTTGGCTTTCCATCTTGCTTTTTAGAAAATGGCTTTGAATGTTTTCCCCGTTTTGTCTTTAAAGTGAAGCCCTTCACCTTTACTGAGATGAGAAGCACTGCCAACAGAAGCGCTTGGCCATGGTCCTGCTCCATGCAGTGGGATTCAAGCAGAGGGTTAAAGCAGCCCCAACATTTTGCTATAACTAATCATTTGAGAACATTTACGTGACCCCTTTAATATGCCATAGATATGGAAATCTCAGGTATATCTGTCTGGAATACATCTAGATCAACAGGGTAATGCACATCTCCAATATATACTGAGTTTGTACTCTGAGGGATGCTTTGCGTAATGCCAGCCTAGATGCTGCTGGCAAAACCAACCACCTGCTATTTTACTTTCTGAAAGGAGGACCCTCTGTATAGATGCACATTTTAGGAAGACAAGGTAGTTTTTGTTATGCAAAGTTTTTAAGGTTATTGCAAAATGCAGAACCCCAGACAATTCAAAATTCTCAGGAGATCTGAGCCAGCTTGCACCTTGCTGGGAGCCCTGGTGGGAACCACAGAGCAGAAATTGTCTGCAGCTGTCCCTGCTTCCTAGGAACAGCCGCACGTGGCCAATTGCACCTTTCTAAGAGGTAAAATCATGAACTGGCCTTTTCTTGCCATGTTTTTAGCCCATCCTTCCTGTGACAGCTGCAAAATCCAGGAATTCCAGGGAAATCTCAACACATGTTGGTCTGAGTTAACAAGACATCCCCACAGGCACGGGAGGTCAGGAAGGTGTGCCGCTGGCCCCACAGTCCCAGCCCGAGGGAGCTGTTAGTTGAACAGACTGGGGGGATGGTTCTTGGGGATAAGCTCTCTTTCATTCTTTTGAACTAGAAAACCTCTTTTTTCTCTGTGTGGCTTTTAATTCTTTTGAACTAAACCCCCCCTCTCTTTTTCCAAAAAGTGTCTGTTAGAAAGACATTAACTGTTCTCACAAGCAATTCCACAGTCACAGGTTTGGATGTGCTCAGCAGCGGCAAAAGAATTAGAAGGGAAAGGAAGCACAAGCACCAACTAGATGAGAAAATACTTCCGTAATTTTACAATATGATTGGAAGGGCAAGGTGCCTCACAGCTGAGGGCTTAACTTGCTCAGCTGCAAAAATGTTCCCTCTTCCACTAACAGAAAGCTCTTGGCCTGTTGTATTCTCATGAAATACATTTCTAGGGGATGTCACTGCCGCTGGCTTCTCCTTGCCCCACTGCTCCTGGGGAGTAATAGGTACTGCAAAGTCTGCGGATGCTTAAAAATCCTCCAAGCCTTTTGTGTTGCTTATTTTTCTTCCCAAGATTATTTTTAATCCTGATTGGTGTTGCAATCCCGGTCACAGTGCGGCCCTACAGTGGTAATTAGGAGGCAGAAAGGATTAATGGCTACAGGAAGAGGTAGCACAAGCAACTGTGGGCACAGAGAAATGCCTCTAGCGATGACTCAGAGGGAGGTGCGAGGAGCTTGGACTGTGCCAGGTCCAGCCACCCCATGGTGCAGGGCCAAGTTCACACGGTGTAACCTGGAGAGCAGAGTACACCCTGGGGAGTGGGAGAGGGGGACAGCGTTTCGTTACCCGCTCAGCAAATCCATCCCAAGGTAAGGCTGGGACCGCAGAACTTGTCGTTGCTTAGGAGGAACTTTGGCCATGACAGCCTTGGAGGGTGAGGTTTCACAATATGCTTGTTCCAGTGTCACTGCAGGCAGGCGATGACAGTGGTGACACCTTGTCCCTGTCTCCCCACCCTGGCTGCCCCTCCTGCCCCTGTTCTCCCATGGAGCCCAGGGATGCAGTGGCCGTGCAGGCAGCTGGGCTTGCTGAGCTGCCTGCAAGCAGCTCTCCCTTTGCTCGTGGACCAAAGAGTTTTCTGTTCCATCAGCAGCGTGATCCAAGTCATCATGCAGTTGCACAGTCGTTAGGTTGGATGCAAATGGTAGGAAGGTGGTGGAGGCTGGGGCGGTGAGGATGACAATGTCTGCTGCCCAGAGCCTGCTGCGGCATCCCCTGCACAGGGATGCTGGTGGCCACCGTGGTCCGCAAGATGCTGAGGCTGTCTACCAGCGACAGTCCCATCATCAAAGGGCATTCAGTGCTGGTAGGAGGGTATTTGTGTCTGCTCCTTGCAAACACCGAGTGAGAATGGAAAATAAGGTGAGTTCTGATGGTAACAGACAAGGACAACAAAAATATTGTGCCCTTCAGGAGATAAAGACATCTTGAAAAATTATACCTATGGGGGAGGGAGGAGGGGGAGAGACATCTGTGCTTCTGTTTATTCATTCATGTTTCTACTAGCCTTTATTATATTTAGACTATGCTAGATGATAGTAGAAGTATTTTGCATCTGATGATGATCTGGGCAGCGGGAGTGCTCTATGGCAGCCTTCACAGCTCCTCCTGGCCCGGTTTCCTTACACATATTTGACACTTGATGCAGGTTACGCTGCACTGTCATCTGATGGAGGTGTAAGCTCGGATCTTTTTTGTTCAGCTGTTTCGCTTTGTATTTTCTTTTGCTAACGGGCTGTAATCAGACAGGAGCAGAGGGAAATCCAACATCATTAAGCACCACGAGACCTCTGCCCTTTTTGAGCTGACACAGGAGAGTCCTTCAGTTCTTTGACAGCTAAATGGGAGGAAACAAAACACAATGTTCCTTGTACTTCTAAGCAGTTGCTGAAATGAAAAAAGATCAATTCTGAGATGAAAGAATTAATCTTACAGCTGGTGCTTGAAAAATGGTGGTGCCTGTATTTGATATCTGGAGAAATGCTAAGCTGGGACATTGTTATAGCCTCTTTGGGTGCCTTTCTAGAGAGGCAGAAAACTGGAATCAGCTTATTGCTTCTTAGAAAGTCTATCAAGGACATCAGGCATACAATGTAATGTCTGTAAACTGCTTTAATCTGATCTTATTTTGTATAATAATCGTATAACAATCACTTTGTCTTAACCCGCTTTCCTTTTTCCCTGGTCCAAAGGGAAAATTCTCTGAATGAAGGGAGAGGAAGGGAACAAAGCCGGCAGTCTCAGCAGCTCGCAGCCATGCCAGCTTTGCACTGTTAGACAAGAATTAGTCGAGTGGGTCTCTCCTGACTTGTGAAAACATCATTGTCCTTTTCCTATATCATGATGAATTCTGCAGGTTTTTTAGCCGTGCAGAACCCTCTCTGGTATTTACAATGATAGTTAATTTGGCCAAAGATTGATCAGAAGCCTCACATGCACATCTCCCAGCCTTTCCAGTATGAGGGCCAGTTCTGAAACCCTCTCGGTGCGTGACATTCTGCAGGACCCACCCCCAAATAAAGTCTCACCATAAAAGATAGATCTGTACCTTTTATACTTTATTACATCCTGTCTTACCGTTGCAGTGGGTTTTTCATTTGGGGATGTATTTGATGCTGTCTCAGTGTTGTGGCCATAAGTCATGCTCTCCATGCCCAATGCATGCTTTCCAGAGTCTGTGCATGCAATGATACGTACACATGGAACACTGCCTGTCCTGATGCTCGAGTGGTGCAGAGCAGCCTAAGCAGGGCTGTGGTTTCTCATGCAACATCAGCAAGAGGGACGTGCCTTGGCCTTTGTTAGGAGCGGTTTTAAACCAGATGCCCCAGGGAGAATGGATTGCTGGGCTGTTGAAGCTTGTCCCCCCATTCAGCTCCCAGTTTCCCCCTCTTATCTCTCACCCGTTAGCTCTCTGCTGGCTTTCACACTTCCTCATAACTCATTCCTGGAAAAAGGAGGGTGGGAACGGAAATACTCCATTAGACCTCTCTCTGCTGATTTACATTCCACGGTGCACATGGTAAAGGGCAAGCCAGATTCCTCCTGGTTATAAGCACCACATACAAATCTTTCCTGTTCAGTTAGAGCAAACCTGTGCTGCCAGCTACCACTGCCGACTCCCACATCAGCAAGGACTAAACCTGGCCAGAGGAGCTTCTGATCAGGAAATCAGATTTTCTAGGGTCTGGAGGAGCCAATATGTTGGATGAGATTCATCTGCTGGCTGCTGTGACAGTCCTGGGAGTCCTGGAGCAAGGTAGGGACCATCGGAGGCACACTCCCAAATACTTGCTTGGTCAGTCTACTGTACCTCCACTGCTTTCTTTTCACTTCCACATTTAATTCTGTTGTTGCACTGGCACTTCCCTGCTTTTCAGACAGTGGACTGATACCTTGTCTGGGTTTTGAAATGTATTCAACAAAGCGAGCGCCTGGGAAGGCCCTCCTCTGAACTGACCTACCTCCTCAGTTCAGAAATTTCTTGGTAGATCTTCTCCTGTGCAAACATGTAGGATTTCTTTCTTTGAAAAATGGTTTTACAGCAGTTCCTGAAGTTCATGTAGACATTAGCATAGAAAGAGCACTGCAGTGCAAAGGGTGGAAGAACGGGCTGCAGTGGGTCACACGGAACATGTCCCAGCTGTGGGTCCACATTGCATGACAATTTAATTCAGCATCTGGGTGGCTTGTCTGAGGCATCAGTTCCCTCCCTAGTCAGCTATCAGGATTTAGAAAGGGGAAAAAATAAAGATTGGAAAAAACCTTAAAATTGGCAGTAACAAAGTGCATCTGAGCTGTGTAACAACTTCTATACATAACAGATGATCTGTTAATTATGCAAGAGAGAAAGCAGGTATCTGCTGGTGGCACATGCCTTGTTTCACTGTTGCACTGGGTCATTCCTTTTCCTTGTCTGAACGGTACCTGGGTTTTTCATCCAGCTTTCTCTGCTATGTGGAGGTGCAAGGAATGGCCTGCAGAACTCTTGCCCCTACCTCCAGCAGTCTGCTGGCCCCACTGTACCCAGCCAGAGGACTGACCACTGCTACTTTTCTCTCTTTTGCTGCAGCCTACTTCTTCCTCCAGGTGATCTATGCTAGGAGGGTGTTCGGCATTTCTCCTCCAAAGATCTCAGGCCCACCTGAATTTGAAAGGATCTTTCGAGCACAGTAAGAAACCCCTCTAAGATGCTTGCCAGATCTCCTGTCTAATGGCACTGCCCCTCCCCTGCTTTGCCATTGATTTCTCGGGACTGGAATTCAGCAGTTACTCGCCTCCCTCCCTCGGGGTTAAGTTAATGGGTTTAAGAGTCAGCATCAGGTCCAGGTTGGCTCATGAGTCCTAAACACACCAGCCATTGCTGATAGAAATCACACAGGAATCTCTGCTGTAGAGCGAAGGGCTGCTAAAGACATAGTTGGTGGTGCCCGAGACTTAGGATGGTTTTAGCCAAGCAGTGTCAAAGCCTCAGGCAGCTTCAGCCCTGCTCTGAACCCTGCTTGCTGGGAAGGACAAGCTCCCAGAGAGATCTCAGCTGGGGCTGGGACGGGGATAGCCACAATCCAGCATCGCTGCCCTGACTTCAGTGCTAGAGCTGCAGTGGGAGGCAGAGGGGAAGCTTCCACTTTTGCTATAGCTGAGCACTGAAAAAAATCCCACTCCTGGGCAGCAGGAGCAGGATCTCCCCAGCCATCCCCTCCTCTGCTCCTTTGCCAGCCTAGACTCAGCCTCATCCAGCATCTCTTGGTCCCACTACTTTGTCTTTGGGGGGACAGGGCACGGCGTACAAACAATCCAAACAGCTAAGTGCTCCTTCCTACTCCTGCATGAAGCCCAAGCTGCTCTGGCCTTATCTGCTTAGGATGCACTTCATCCTCAGTGTGTCTGCAGCCTGCTGGGGCAGACCTTCCTTGCAGTTTTGGGCTTTGGGGCTGTGGAACTCTGGAAGAGGCACTGGGAGCCCTTTCTCTTTCTTGGTCTTTCATGGTCTGACCTGGGCATCTTCTACTCGGTTTCCTTTGCCCTGGCGACCCAGTTCCTTCCACTCTTTAATATCTGTGAATAAAGGTGGGATGGGAACTGTGGGAAAAAGCACAAGCCTGGAATTCTTTTATGGTGACATCAGCTTGAAAAAGCAACAGGCTCCAGCCCCTGGAAACTGCTAGGGGAAGCAAAAGAGGAAGATCTTCCTCCTTTCCCTTGTTTATGACCTTCCTCTTTCCTGCCAGGGTGAACTCCTCCGAATATTTTCCCATTTTCCTGGCACTTCTGTGGCAAGCTGGACTCTTCTTCCATCAAGGTGAGAACAGCCCGCTACCTGGTTTGTCACTGGATCTGTTCCCCTGAGTGCTGGCTCAGCCCTCAGGTCCTGCTCACCTTCTGAACAATAAATTAGGCAGTAATTGTGTCTCTGATGGGAGGGTAGAGTCAGAGGACACAGAGCCTCTATTCCTTCACTTTGGGCTACCTGCTTGGCTCAAAGTCTCTCTCAACTGCAGGTCTGGCTGCAGCCTTGGGTCTGCTCTACCTCTGCGCCCGCTACTGCTACTTCATGGGATACAGAGCATCGTCCTCGGAAAGGTAAATGCCTCTGCCAGCCTGGAGTGTGTGGTAACTCCTGAGGGTTTGCATTTGGGAACATAATGTGCTTCGGGGAAGCTCGGGACTGCCTCTGGCTGCTTTGGGGTCCGCACATGACTCAGCCTTGCCAAGCTCTCCCCAGGGCATAACGTGGGCATGGGTACAGGGCTGGGGCCGGAGACACAGATACGGGGCAAGGCTGGAGCTGCCCCAAGCCCTTGCAGGTGCGTGTGTGCTCCCTCGAGGCAGGAGCCAGGCACGGGACCCCATGCAGGGGACAGGGGACAGGCAGGGGCTGCCTTTCCACCCCCTGTTCCAGAGCAAGAGCAGCTATGCTTGGTCTCAGAAGGCTCCCTCTCTCCTGACAGGCTCGCCCCGATATACTTTAGCACTGGAGTTCTCTGGATTCTCATTGCAGCATCAGCCCTGGGCATCTTGCATTTCTTCCTCTCTCACTACGTGGGGCTGAACATCCTCCAAGTTCTCACAGTGTGACCTGCTCCTCTATCCTTCATCGGTGTCCTCGCCTTCGAGTTCTGCTCCCTCCTGCCCATGGTAACAGACTGGCTGTACCTAATATAGCACAAGCAACAAATCCACCCTCACCTGAGTTTTTAACACCTTCCTCCCCACTGCTCAGCACCAGCATGAACTGCTGAGCTCTTCAGGAGGTGTTTTTCCCCTAGAGCACTCTGTGCCAAGTGCTCCATATCTGGCAGCTCTGACATGCCTGATGTGGAAGCAACAATGCTCCAAAACAAGGAGAATTTTTAGGAAAACAGGACACATAAAAGCAAACTCATGTCAGCCTGAGCTTCCCAGCGTTTTGCCCCAGGGAATCGCCATGTGTTCCCCTTCCTCCAGCAGCTCTGCCTTCAGTCCAGACACCCAAACGCGGGTTCATGCCAGTTTCCAAGGCCCACACCCAAGAAAGGCATTTGCTTGAAATCAGATGTGGGCTGAGGTGAGCGATAAACAGGAGCAGCCACCAACATGTTGTGCAGAAGTCTATTAGTGCCCTCGTAATGGTTATTAGCCATTGCCCATGGGCGATGCTGTAAATCAGACTGCGCAAACTCATAACCACTACTGCATGTGTAACTGAATAGTGCTGAGCGACAATGTGCACAAATAAAAAGGCACTGAGCTTGCTGTGCTGGGCGTCTCCCTGTGGGTCTTCAGTTAGCACAGAACAAAAACACAAGTGTGTGAGCACAAGGCGGCTGCCTCGGTTTCCCCACTGTGCAGCACAACGCAGCCTGTGACCCTACGACCTGCGGGAGGAGAGCTCTGAGTAGGGAGAAGCTGATTTTCAGAGGTGCTGAGCTCCCGGATTGCAGGCTGAGCCGCTCAGCACCATACAGTGGTCCCCGCTGAGTGGTTTTGCTGGTGCTTAGGTCCCCCTCCGGATTGGCCCCCCAGCAGCAGGAAGGGCGTTCACAACACTGATGCTTTTGGCCATCAGTCCACTCATGTTAGCAACACAGCTCAGAAAGCACCAGCAGTGCTCTGTGCCATTGTCACGGGGGGACTTCACGCCAAACCCAGAGAGCGAAAATAAGTGCATTAACATGCTGCCAGTTTAACGACCTTTTAAAACCCGCTGTCGTCCCCTCCCTTCCCCAGCAGTTTGCATATCTAGACTGTAACAACAAACGGCAGGGGTTTTTTGGAAGAAGTGAATAATTTTTCACATTGTTCCATTTCCTTCCCTGCATTTTAAACTGGCTTATCCAACAACACCCCCACTCCGTTTTCCTTTTGGGGTCTCCTGCCTTGGAGTTGTGCTGCTGCATTGAAGTGGGCAAACACTGCAGGGGAAGGCTTAAACACAAACAAAAATATCTGTACAGCACTTGCCTCCGCAAAGTTGTCAGTGCAGCGGGGCCCCATCCTCACAGGAACCCCCGGATGTCGCAGCAAGATAAACAACAAAATAACTTTTTTTCTAGTAGCTTTGGTAATACACTTTGGAAAAGGCTGAGCATCGTTTAACCCCAACTGCGCCTTAGCAAGGCCAGGAAGGAAAAGACATGCCACCTGCCCCCAGTCAGATTTTACTTAGCCTTTACATTAACGTGTCCCACCATCTCCTGAAGTTAATTCTCAGTTCTCACCTTTTTACCGGCATAACCAGTCACCCCCCCGAGGTTAATACAGAAAGACAGGTCCTGGCTCCATATTAAAACCCCGCTGTCTCGGGTTAGTCCAAGCTGGTGCTCACTGGTTCTGCAGACACAACCTCCATCTTTTACCCTGCAACCAGTTTTCTAACCCTGCCGTGGTGGCCTGCCGCTGCTACCCACCTCAGCCCCGCTTGCCTAGCTCTGTCTGTGACAGGGCTGCAGAATGACTCCGAGGAAAGTTAATGATTCAGCAGCAAGGCTGTGGCAAGCCGGCTTCTCCCCCTGGATGTACAGATGACCATTAAAAACCTTGGTGCGGCACAGCCAGGCTCTGGCCCCAGCTGCCTGCCGACGCTAGCTCTGCCACAGAAAAACTGCCCGGCAGAGGCGGCGTTTCAGGTGCCTCCAGCAGAAGGAAAACTCTTCCCCTCCACCCAGGGATGCTGTCATTACTCTGCAACTTCCTAACTGCCATCAGACAAAACCACTTTGCACAGGACCATGGTTCAACGATGCAGCTGATGACTTCAGGATTTACCCGCTTCAAAGCGCTGCCGCCGCACAGCACGTTGCGCCGGTGAAACCACTTTGCCCACTTGCATCCGCTGCAGAGATGCTGAGGAGCCAGGTTTGGACTGGCAGGGCGTGCGCGGGGGTGGGACAGGGTCTGCCCGTGCCACCCCACG